TTGCAGCCATTTGATATTTCAGCGTGCGTCAAGAGGGGCTTAAGGTTCGCAATCAGGGTTTGGTTGTCGTAATACACGTGATCCAGATACTTCCATGTTCTGATGTCTAAGTTGTGACCATCGCGCGTTGCAGCGCTAGTGCCCTCTCGCATCACTTAGAGCTCATCGCGCGGCAATAACGCTGCTGATCCATACTCCTGGCATTGAAGTCTGTAGATTTCGATATTGTGATTTGCATCTACAACCTTGAGTCATGTGGCTTGCATCTATAGCCTTGAATTTTACGATTAGCCTTAGGTCGGCGCGGACAGTGCGGTTTGTTGGGAGAGCCCCTGATTTTGGGTGTGCTATGATACATGGATCACCACCACAGCTCAGTTCCAGCTCAATCCGTGATCAATAATCAGTTCCAAGAAGGGAAGTAGTATCTGGTATGATTGCTTTGTAGGATAGTGTTTAGCTGTTACACTCAGCGAAATCGTCGTCCTCTTTGACTCAGAAACAACTTCGATACGGTGAAGATAAAAATATCATTAATAGTGTATTTGCTTACTCAATGGGATTAAACTCTAGCTATCGTCTTGTAATTCGGTCCCTCAAAGCTCAATCTAGCCCCTTTCTCCCACGAAATTTTCTGTCGTGGCAATTCTAGGCCAGCCGAATGGCCCTTCTTACCACTTAGGATATAATTCTGATCTCTAGAGAGCATCTTGTAAAGAGTACGCTTAAAATTGCCACGAAGCCGGCTAGACTTGCCTGCAAAAGGCAGAATTCTTTGAGTTACATGAACTAGGGAATTGCTGCGATCTGGTCAGGTTGAAACAGCATCCTCCATCTCTGTGGAAAAAGGGATTCAACGTTTCCCAGCTACATAATCATTTCTCATTTTTGTAAAATCTATTAAAGCGTTGAGATTGGCTCTAGATCTAAGGAGGGAATCAAGAGCTGAAATGTACGCGGCCTCATGACTTCCAATAGTTGCTATATCTGCTGCAAGTAAGAAATAGCAGTGGCCCTCTCGGATATTCTTGTATTTGGATCAGCCCCATGCTGCAAGAAAAGTTGTAATAACTTCTCATCTAACGTAGTAAGAAAACTTGGGACCAATTTCCGGCTTGGCGGCTGTTACACGGGATAACAAGAGGCCGCCAGGAGTTTCACTGGCTCCTTGCTGCTAGATTCGAACAAGTGACTTTGCAGCCTATCACGAGTGCATTAGACATGCAGACTCAAACCTAACGTGTAAGTGCGGACACCGTAAGTCACTAAGATATATTTTCTACTACCTAAAGACCTCCACCCACCAGATTAACTATAAGGATAGGGAGGAGGAAATTAAGACTAAGTAGGATAGCTTTATTATAAGGACTAAGAAATTAAAAGAATCTATACTACTATATAGAAGTAGCTGGGCGCCCTTTGCCCTTCCTAGGGATCCCCCGGCGTTAAACACACACACACAAACACACACACACACAAACACACACACACACAAACACACACACACACAAACACACACACACACAAACACACACACACACAAACACACACACACACAAACACACACACACACTCTGGGTAAAAAGCTACTCCTAAGTCTGCTTGAATGCTGAAGAAAGCGAATTGACTTGAGCGCACAGCCTCACATTGAAGTCATGCTATTTTTATTGCGGCTACGATCGAGAGCTACCTAAGGTAAGTCAGTGAATGTTGTGCACTTCGTGGCCTAATTGATGCTTAAAGTGGCTTTCTAATTGTAGTTCCGTTTAACAATTTGATCAGCGAATTCGAGAAGCGGTGGCATTGTCTTTAGGAGTACTATCATAACATTCAGCGAAAAATTGTTGCAATCATGAAGCTCTAAATAAAAAACATGAAGAATTGAGTACTATATTTTTATTGACTGACCTTTCACATCTCGCTCGTATATTCAGATGGTTGCTAAGAACAAAAAATCAAAAGCCATGGGTTTGGGAAACAGTATCTGTCATAAATCTTAATCACCTGAGTCTCAATCAACTTCATCTCAATCAACTTCATCTCAAGACGTGGACTGAGCCAAGCTTAGATATTCGATCGCCTGCACCGCCCCCGGCGTCTCTGCCCAGGCTGGGAAATTGTACCGAAGCGCAATACAACCCTCAAGGTGTGAACCAGGCTGATATGACCCCCGGCTGCTGTCGAAATGGCGGTTTGCCGTTGCCATGATATTGTCCTCGCTCATCATCGACCAGATATGGGGGTTGTAAGCCGTTATGGCGCGGTAAAGCCCCAAAACCTCTTTTTTGATAGTTACAATCATGACTGCCGTCTCTTCGAAATCAGCCTGAGCCACTCTGTTCTGCGACGCGGCGGAGCTGATAGAAAGCTTCATCCGTATAATGTCGATGAGTTCCGTGGGTATGACGCCGTGGAAAGCCCTGCGTGCGTTTTGCATAGCTCGCAGATCCAGGAGAACCTTCATCTTGATGAGCAAGACCGCCACCCATTGGTTCAGACTAAAGGAACCCACGGAGTCCCAGCTGTCCTCAAGAGGCGCCAAGATATCTTTCCTCAGATAGTCTGGATCGAGGAAGGGCAAGTCCATGCTGGTCCATTGCGAAAAGGGACCATTGGAGGTAGCGAACCACCAGTCCAGGAAGTTATAGGCCTCCTGGTCCATTCCCAGACGTATGTACAAAGCAGGGATTATGTTTGAGATGTATAGCTTGTCGCTGGGATCAAGCCGGATAATATTCAAAGTGTGGTCGAGAGCAATTCGGACGACATGGGTGTAGCCCCCAGCAGTTCCGAAGTGATCTAGGAGAAGATTTACGAGTCTGAGGCGAGTGGCCAGGTACGGGTGGGCGGTACGAAGGGACGGGAAGTATTCCGCCGAGGTGTCCAAGGGGGTCACGTCGTCGTCTTCGAACTGGGTGCGAATCTTGCGCTCTTCGTTGTCCAAGGCAATACGTGTGTACTTGATCAAGATGCAGGTTGGGTAGTGATGCTGCTTGTGCGAGGTCTCGTGGCGGCTTCCACAGTAGTCAAGCACTTCGCAGCTCACGCAACGGATGAGGCCCGTTTTCGAGGAGCATATGGGACAGGCCTTGGGTTTGAGGCCCGGGGTATTGTTTAGGGAGAACGGCATGGCCGAATGTGGAGGTGATCGTCTGCTAGAGGCGACGGGCGGTGATGGTTAAGAGGGTTGAGTTGAGTTCAATTGAGGGCATCGATGAGTTGGCTGGTGCTTACGGTGCCGGATCTGGACCGATTAGGCTAATAGCAGGGCAATCATTCAGGTTGGATCATGTGTGTGATTGAGGGGATAATCGGTGTGTACCTATTCAGCTCCCGACCCTCCTGCGTCCAAAGCCGGAGGGAGGCATTTTCACGTCCCCAGGGCCTGTAGCAATGGAGTACAGGCACCTGCTGGAATCTCTACTGCCTGCTTACAGCTACTCCTGGACTGCTTACTCACCCGCAATTTCTGCCCCGTCCAACTGGCCACCAGGCTTGAGCTTTTGAGCAATTTCCAACACGCGATGCGAGAATGTAGGTATGGGAATGCCATTTCCGTCCGCTCGTCGTCAAGGCGAAACAGAGCTTGTGAGCATGGCGCAGAATATCCTGGATAGAGTCCTGGGCGCCTGTCGCATGCCCTTGACGGCAACGATTTAAAAAAACGCCGTGACGACGATGCAATGAGAGCTAAGCGATAGACGGTAAGGCACGGAGCTTGACGATGATGATGCGGCGAGCTTCACGATGTCAACGCAGAAAATTGTCGAAGAACGACGTTAGTAAATCGGTCAAGTCTCAGGAATAAATCGGGAAATTGTGTATAATGAGTTGAAAAAATCTTCTCCAGGGCACGTCACTAGACAGAAGGAGGAAGAACCACATTGCTCCTTGTATTATACAGTGAAGCGACTTTCTCTCCTGTGTTACACAAGGAGGAATTTCGAAGTTTAAATGCAAGCATGTCCATGGCCACAATATCCTTGAGCCGGTTTACTCGCTAACAACGCAGGAGGCTTGTTGCCAACATAAAATACTGACTTGATATTACCTGTACTTATGCTCACCCCACGATGACGAAACAAAGGGTGAGGTAGAAGTTTTCATCCGGCGTGTTATCACCAAAAGTCCAGTGGCCAAAGTGTTGCGCGCAGTCATTCTGGAAGTCCAAGATTCTCCCAAGTTTTTGAAGGACAAGTCCGTGGTCCTTTTTACAAGTGAGATAGATCTGGTGTAGAAGCTGCCGAGTCTAGTTCTGAGGCTATCCAGGGGGGCATCGGCCACCCAACGATCCTCATCAACAACAATATTCTGTAACGAAGACCTTAGGTTTTAGCCAAGAGGCTGAATAGAAGACGTTTGAAGTAAACCCTATATCGCATTACCTTACAGTGTAACAGTTTCTGCTGGCCTTTGCCACTCACAACAAGTTCTTACCGTTGCCAGTAGTACCTCATTGCTCGCCACAGCTCATACTAGTGGCAACTCAGGCAGTAAAGCACTTTACCCGTCATGCCTAGATATCTACTTGATTGCATCAATTATGCTTGGACTTCCAACCTAGTTACTCGTCGTGCGTTCGCTTGCCAATGGAGACGAAGAGAAAACTGTGACCAAAACAATACGTCAAGTGATATATAGATCAACATATTTCCCATCAATCACCTCCCACTCTTGGTACAGAACCCAGTTCATGTTAGACATCGCATAGTAGGTACTCCAATGAGTTTGATTACTGTTCCACAATCTATAGCAACGCTGTACCTCGGACCATACCTCCTCCCTTTTTCGAGCAGTGTCCATGATTCCATTCCGTTTAACCTAAAAGCTGAGTCGTATGATGATCCAAGGAGCCGGGAAATATTTGCTTTGAAAACATCTCAGACAAAAGTTTCCTTGTAGGCGGTGAGCAAAGCAAATATCCGATCTCGCTTGTCAGATGAATTGCACTGGTTGGTACTGTGAATCAAATCAAGAAACTCCGGCTCTTCTCGGAATCCCTAGAAGTTGCGGTCACAGACATGCCTAAGCCAGGAAACCCCCTGAGATGCCAAGTAAAATTCGGTCCAGTCCCAAGACTTGGAGCCGCAAACAGCGCGTTTGGCCCTGGCAAAGGCCAGCTCTTGAACAACCAAAATTCTTGAGAAGTATGGCCGCTTACAGAGTATTGCAATCTGCTCCTCGTGGTTTTCAGTAGGCTCTTGCTCACCGAGATAGATGACTACTTGCTTCGCACAGGCATATATCTCAGCCATCATATCAACTTGGTGGCTTCTTTCCGCAACGTCCTCTTGATTGATGCAGATTGCATCGACCCAGAGTGTTCTCGGCCTGCTCCGATACCGCAGCCTACGGAGCGCATTCGCGCAATTTTCTGTGACCTTTATAACATCCCAACTAACACCGTAGTATACGATGTGGGTTGCGCCTCTTTTTCCGGTATCGTTAGCCCATGTATATGAAAGGGCTTCATATTCTAACCCGGCTTTAAACGGCCGCACTTTTAGCTGTATGTGCAGAGGATCGCCCAGTTCTCCTTTAGACAGCGTAAGCAAGCGGGTTTGCCGTCCGGCTAGCTTCTCAAAAATCAAGTGTTTCTGGTTTTCCCTCAGTCCATCGAATAAATTCAACTCTTTCACTTGCTGGTTTAGAGCCGACTTCGGGCATTCGATGAGCGTGTTGCCATACTCTGGCTGGTTCTCGTCGATATATTCAACAGAACTTGGCCAATACAGGTTTCGCTTGCGAGGATGAGGCTCGCGCGGAATGTTCCATTCATTGTCTGTTGGCTTCGCTGCTATCTTGCTCTCGGAAGGGGCAATCTCCCCACAGCTGACGCAGCATGGCGTTTGCTGGCCGGGAGAGAGGTCGATGATGTTTATATCGGCCCTACTGCATTTATTATGCCAGTTCATGATGGTCAACCAAAGTATTCAATCTGGAAGACATTCGCGCATGTAATGAGAAAGAAAGGAATTGAGAGCCAGTTTCTAAACCGGCTGTGTAGTATTGACATCTGCGGGGTACTCTGCAGTTGGACACCGTCACACCGCGTCATTAACTTAAAACCTTGCAAGGAACCGACGATTCCATCATTTAGGAATGGTTGTTTGTCAGGTATTCAACACTTATCTATTCGAGGTTGTGGGAAATAGAAGACTGGTGGTGATAGCTGTGCACTCTTGCACAATCATCCGCACAAGTTCACCCACAGCATTCTCACTAATTGCTTACCCATTAAGGCAGGCTACGGTATCCGGGATCGCAAAGACCATGATTCGCCTTGCGTGGCCTTTGTTTCGAAGAATCCGGCATGGGTGGTATGTGCCCCGATGAGGCAAGCCTTCGGACAACTGCACCAGAACTGCACCAACCGAAATAACAATTGATAGTGGAGGCTTGTGCCTGGAGCATGTGTAGGGCTGCCTGGCAGGAACGACCAGACCAATCAGAGCTCAGCACTCTCTCCAATGAAGTACCTGGACGACAGCGGATCGGGCGCCCTAATTTAGTGGGAACGCGCTAAAATTGCTTGATTCGAAATCCCCGAGCCAACTGCGGATTCAGGCTGGAGCGACTGAGCCAATGAGAGAGCAGATCCGACCTTCATCGAGTCTCACTACTTCAACTCTCTGGCCGTCCACTGGTATGTTCCATCATCGTTGGTCTATCTCAATGACGGACAGAAACACTCTGGAAAGAGATTTCAGTTTATACCACCGCTAATTTTTAGGTTTTCTATGAGATGCAACCCTCAGAAAGGGAACCTCACCGGTATTAGCTGGCTCGTTGCAGTTGCAGGGTGGTCGCTCGGTGGTGATGCGAGCGCGGGTATGATAACCGCCAAACCAAACCATCAATCGAAGAAAACGCAATTCCGGGCTGAATTAGACCTCTTCCCTTAGCTTCCATGCGGGACTGAGAATCTCGGCAGCCAAGGGAAATGACGATTGACCATGTCATTCTCCATGGTAGCTAAGCCATTGATTTGAAACCCCGCCCAGTGGATATCGCCAGAATCCTCTCAGCCATCAATGATGCGTCTGTGCATCTATCTTTAGCCGGATGGGTGGAGATTCCGTATACAAGGCCAAGGCCGCCATACGCTGAATATTATTATATAACATTCCCTTGAGGCCGGTTCGGTCTGGAGAAATGAAACACATCGCATTCGGTATTCTCATTCATCTCACTTCAACCTCTTCAGGTCAAGATGCGTGCCACATCTATTCTCTTCTACTTGCCTCTGGTGGTGTCTGCAACACCAACCAACGCTCCTTTTACACATTGCTCGCGTTCGGCCAATGTCAGCTCCATCCAGTGGAAGTCTTGTACCATTCCCATCGCGACTTCGGTTCCCGTCCAGTGCGGCAGCCTGAATGTACCCCTGGACTACACCGAAAAGAACTCCAGCGAGACCCTGAAGCTCGATCTTGTCCGCATCCCAGCTGTGCAGCCCGAAAAGAAGGGCAGCATTCTGTTCAACTTTGGCGGTCCAGGCGCGGACGGTGTTGTAGACCTTGGCTACTACTCCGAGCCTCTCCTAGCGTATGCCTGCCACCTTCTTGAACTAAGCCATGGGCTTGGTTAACTTACATTTCTTAATTAGGTCTACTGGAGGGTATTACGATCTCATCAACGTCGTTCCCCGAGGAACAGGCTATACACTCCCATTCTCATGCTACGACGATGCAGCTACACGGGCCGCCTTTACCCAGCCTATCAACGGCGACTCTTCCGATACAGCTCTCGGCAATGTGTGGGCTCGCTCTACAATCTACGACCAGAACTGCGCTGCTCATCAGAATAAGACTGGATCCTTGATTGGAACCGCCTTTGTTGTGCGTGATCTTTTCCAGGTTGTCGACGCCTTGAACGAGGATGGGTTGCTGCGTTACTGGGGTGAGTCTTTGTCTCTGCATGAACATGATTCCTGAACAATAAGGGCTTGGAATCCTAACCGTTTGATTGTAGGAGTGTCTTATGGCAGCATTCTAGGTGCCACAGCAGTTGCCATGTTCCCCGACAGAGTGGACAAGGTTATCATTGACGGTGTTGTTAATCCCCATGAGTACTACAACAACAAGTATGCCCGTCCGCCCTAATTCTTCCCCAGCTTTCTGAGCTTCCATAGCTAACTTTGCTATGATATAGAGAAGTCGAGCTATTCACAAACTCCGATGACGTGTTTACAGGCTTCTGCCAAGGATGCGTTCAGAACCCCGACAACTGCCCCCTTGCCCAGAACCACACCGCAGCAGAGCTCGAGGCGAGCCTCCGCGCACTTCTCAGCAACCTAAAGTACAAACCTATCCCCTTTGTCACGCCTCTCATCCCAGGCGGAGGCTTCGTGCTTGATTACTCGACCGTCGTCGGCTACATTCACCGCCAGTTGTACTTCCCCTTCGTCTGGCCCTCCCTAGCCACTTTGCTCCACGACCTTGCCACGGGCGACCTCGCCAACCTTGCCACGCTCTTCCTCGGCACGACTACTTCCGAGTCCACCACGTCTTCCAACACCACCTCGGACTGGAACCCTCCCAGCTTCGACGAGGCCCTCTACGGCATCAAGTGCAGCGACATTCTGACAGACAGCACCTACGAGGAGACAGCCGCAGTCCAGACAGCTCGCTACGAGAAGGGAGTCTTCGGCGGCGTCGCTGCCGAGATGCCTGCCCGATGCGCCCAGTGGCCCATGCGAGCCAAGGAGCGATACTCGGGCGACTTCAAGGTCAAGCCCAGGAACCCCGTCCTCATCATCGGCAACACCTACGACCCTGTGACTCCCCTCGTCTCTGCGCGCAACGTCAGTGCTGGATTCGAGGGCAGTGTTGTTCTCCAGCAGGACAGCTACGGCGTAAGTCTCATAGCCCTTCGGGTGTTTAAATGGTGAGCTGGCTAACAGTAACATATAGCACGACTCTCTGACACAGGCGTCCCTCTGCACGGCCAAGGCGGTCAGGTCGTACTTTATCAATGGCACTCTTCCTGCTGCCGGCACCGTCTGTCCTATCGACATCCCCGTATTTAGCGGTAGCGATGGATGGGCTGATGTTATCAAGCAATTGGCTGAGGAGTCGTAGTAGATTATGGGAGTGTCGGATATCTGCTCGCATTGAATAATGTCTTCTGTAATTTTATCGGGCGGTATTAGATCAGAGATGGTGTTTTTCATGAAATTCAACAGGTCCTTTCGTCAGGGAGCAAGATCCAAATGATGGCGATCGGATCAGCAAGGCCAACGAGGAAACAAATGGTCCACGCCCTGCCTTTCGCTGGCCATTTTGGCCCATCATTTAATAAAAGTGGCCGAGATTGGTGGTTCTGGTGATATGATGCAAAAACGGTATATTTAACGCTCGGTATTGAGCTCATTCAATGATATTCCTTCCCTATCTATTTTGTTATATGGTATCAATTCTCGCTCACCTCCTCCCCTTCTTGGCCTTCTTGCTCCGCCTCGGCTCATCATCGTTGTCCCCTCTCCTCTTCTTCCTGCCCTCCTCCAGCAGCTGATTCATCCCCTCACTACCCTTGAACCGCGGGTTGGAGGGGTCAATCGCGAACTCGTGGTCCTCGAACACGGCCTTGAAACGATCGTCGCCCACGTCCATGTTGAAGTCCTCCTGCAGGTTACCGGCGGCCAGGTCCTTCTTGCTCTTCTTGCCCTTCTTCTTCTTCTTCTGCTTCTCGGCGCGCAGAATGTCGTTCATGTCGAAGTGGTCCAGATGGCTGGCCTGGTTCTCGTCGGCGTCCTCCGCCATGACCTTGGTGAGGTGTGCCTTCTGGGCCGTCGACTCAGCCTCGGCGGCCTCACGCGCCTCACGCTTCTTGCGGCGCTCCTCCTTGCGGATGGACGTCTTCGAGGGGGCGACGGCAGGCTCGTCGGTCGTGAAGAAGGGGTCGTCGAATCCGAGATCCTCCTCCTCTTCCTCGTCGGCCTGGGCCGGAGCAGCCTCGTCCTCTGAATCGGCCTCGGAGTCCTCGCCATCACGTTTGGCCTTGGCCTTTTGACGCTTCTGCTCCTTTCGCTCACGCTCCTTTCGGACGTACTTCTCGAGGGTGGTCTCCTCCTCGCCGGCCTTCTTCTCTTTCTTCTTGGTCTCTGCCAGGGCAGGTGTGAAGGTGATCTGCATGCCTCCCACGGGGCCGTGCTTGGACTCTTTTGCGGCGGGCTCCTCGCTTAGACCCAGAGCCTCACGCATCTTCTTGCGAGCTAGCTCCTTCTTGGAAAGCTTGGGGGCGTCCTCCTCCTCTTCTTTAGCATCAGCTTCCTCCTCTTCCTCGTCCTCGTCCTCGCCCTCGCTGTCGCTTGCCAAGTATGCGCGGAGGTCATTCTCTTGCAGATTAGATCGGCTTCCTGTGAAAGCCCTGTCCAAAGCCTCTTTTCGGGATGTCTCTTCCGGGTGCATGTCCCATGTCAGCTTCACCTTGGAGCTCTGTAGCGCGTTGGTCACGAATTCGACAGGCTTGTAGCTCTCCGGCACCTTGTCGCACTCGTCTCGGGGCTCGTCGTCGAATGTGACATCGTCGGGGACAAATCGAAGGTCAAGGAAGTTGGACGACGACTGGAACTCGGTACCGTCTGTGGATTCGTAGATCTTCTTGGCTGCCTGGAGGCTGGAGCAGACCATCACAGCGTAGTAGTAGCGTAGCCTGTCTAGCTGGTAGGATCGCAGAGCATCGCTGTCGAAATCCTCATCATCCCCCTCCTGCATCAGCTCCTTCTTGATCTTCTCATCTTCGCTGAGATCGCTGTCGTCATCATCCTCGCTGTCGTCCGACTCGGAATCTTGCTTGCTGCTCTCTTTGAAGAGAGCCTTCGGGGGCCCCTCGACTTCTTCTTGCTGCATGCGCTCTTTGCCAAACTCGCTGGGGTAGATGGAAATCTTCTCGATCTTGCCACTCTCGCCGGGTAAAAAGCTTGAGAAGAGAGCCATCAAGTCCGTGGATTGGATGTGGTCCCAGTCCAGGTTGACAATGGCAATGCGCTTGCTGACTTCTCCAGATTCTACCTCAGCCCGCTGGTCCTGGAATCGTTGCATGTCGCCGCCATTGGACACACTAGCGCCTCCAGCCTCTTCATCTTCATCCTCGTCCTCCTCGTCCGAATCAGAGTCCGATTCGGAGGAAGAGAATCCACCACCTCGAGCTGGGTCGAATTTTTCATGCGCTTTCCTCAATTCTCTCTGTACAACTTCGTCGTCATCAACTTCTGGGTTGTCGTCAGACTTGGCCTTGTCGTCCTCGTCCTCGTCATCCTCGTCGGGTTGGTACAGCCTCTCCAGAGCCTTCTTTTTCGAGTCGGACTTGAGTTTTCGACCGTAGCGATCTACTCGGGCTGTGGCAGTGAACTCTTCATCCTTGAGCATGCCAGCAAAACGCTTATCGAGTGTCGTCTTCGTCTTCTTCTTCGAGGGCAGTCGGAAGCGAGGGTCGGTCTGGAAATTGGCGAAACGCGGATCGGAGATCCGGCTCGATGAGCCTTCCCCATGTTTCTTGGAGCTTTTCTTCATTGTCGCAGTGTGCGTGCTACTAGATGCGACGACAGAGGAATTGATGATTGCGCACTTGATAAAAATGGAAGACGTTGCTAGCTCACTACATTTCTCTGTCGCGACTTGGAGGGGCAGAATAATTTTTTTTTTGCCCAGAAATTTGGGCGGTGAGCCCCATATCTGCCCGATCAGGAAGGCGGTCAACGATGGTATATGGGTCCGCCAGACCAAGCATTAGATACACATTATTAAACACCCTCGTCTAGATGGATAATAGGGTAAAAATATAGTAATAGAAAATATAAAAAAAGATATATAATAGTAGGTATTTACTAGTTATTATTAACTTAATTATTAATTTACCTCTTAAAGGCTTAATTATAGAAGAGTACAACATATACGCTTTACCGATCTTGGGGCTGTTAGGCTGGGCGGGGAAGGGGCTGTGGTTAGGCTGAGATGAGGCGCCTGGGCGAACCATTTGAATCTGGTCGTGGAGGAGAGCGGCGGCCGCCATGGTAAAAGATAAATGGAAAGCCGAAGTCCCATCTCTTGGCTTGTCTTTTGAATTTCTCGCAACCCCCCCAGGCTCAGTGTTATTTTGAATGGTACTTAGCCCTTACTTTATGCAAAATGACTCTTGTTTTCAACTCTCCGCTTGGAAGCCTCATCCAATCTCAGTTTGGCGTCAACGAGATTGCTTCCTCGGTTCTTATTGGCAAAACCATCGGAAATGTTCTCAGTCGTGATGCAGATACGAAGACCATCAGCAATCTCGCCGCAGGGTTTCGCGTAAATAATCGACCAATACCTAAGTACCTGGAGAGCGTTGCGTTTGACCGATCCGGCGTGTTACTTGGAGCTAGGCAGAGGAGAATTTCAGTCCCCAACACCCTCGGCGGTGTCGAAATTGATTCCTTTGTGGGAATCGCAACATTTCTCGTGCTCATCCTGCGACACATCGAAGACATTGACTATATTATCGAATATTTGGAGAACCTCCCCTAAGGCGTGTACTGGCTTGTGACGAGCCCGAGACTCGAGCCGACAGAAGCAGGGCTTCCTTACGCGACTCGTGAGCTCCTTCGGACCTTCGTCCAGGGTGTCATCGACGCAGATCGAGAGTCACAACAGTGGAACAAAACAAGGCTGTTGATGGCAAAACTTGTTGCCCAAGTTGGTGACTCTGCATTTCTAGACTCCATCTCCGCACCATCTCAAACCCGGATCGAGGAGCTAATTCACTTCCTACTTGGAGACTTGGCAAATCAAATTCAGAAGTCGGCTTCGGAATTGTATCCTACCTTCGATACATTCTCGGCGGGGGTCGCAATGGTTGCTTTGGCAGCAGCTTCCAACGGCGCCTCGATTAAAGTTCAGTGTTTCAAGGACAAGTACCATCCAATTGTGCTTTCGGAACCTCCCCAATCACCCGTAGAGCCCCGTGGAGCATCAGTCTCAATGCTGCAGGTCAATCTTTGGCTCACTGAACCACCACCGGACATCGCAGAACGTCTAAGAGCGATTCAAAATAATGAGGATGCTCACCCTCGAATAATAATACCAATAGTAGGTGGCATTTCCGAAGTATCGATGGTAGTTGCACGAGAGCTCCAGGGCTCTGAAGAGCCTCTTGAATACTGGAAGCTGGGACTTCAAGCAGGCCGATCCTTAGACTGGGAGGTATTTGGTCTCGATGCAGACGCAGGCCCTGGTTTTGGTTGCCGAATCACCGAGGAGTCTTTAGTTGACAAGATGGGGGTCCAAAGCTTTCCTAACAGTTTGCGGAGGCACGCGAAGAAGTATTTGCCGCATGTATCATCGGCGGATAAAAGACGTCGGATTATTGAAAAAGCAGCCTCGATCTATCACAAAGTTATGAACTATGCAGACTACGACGATGACGACGAAAAGACCTTGCACCTAACTCTGCGTTTCATCATTCTGGCCATCTTCGTTGGAGCTATGGAAAAATTGGCAACAAATACAACAGCCACCCTAGCTGATTATGCCTGGACCTGTGATCTGGAACAGCTGAACAGTTTCGCTGAGGCGGCTGTTTCCAAAGGGATTTCCTCCAGAGATGTCATCTACTGCGCGGCCCGCATCTGGGGTGGAATGACACGATCTCTTCCAACTGAGATTGCAAGACACCAGAAGGTGCTAGGGATTGTATGTCCTCAAGTCACCATCCTGATGAATATCCTTTCCAATGCGGACGATATAGCGAAATACGGCCTGGATAAAGGACTGTTTACATTGCACCGCGGCTCTGTTCCCATCCTCCCGAGACACCCCGAGACAGGTCTTATCTTAGCTGGGGAGAAGCGATCTCGCCACAAAATTGCCCAGGTTAGATCCGCTCCGCCGTCGGATCTTGAAATCAGCGTACAGGGACTGCCCGACATATCTAAGTATGTTGAATCTGCTCCAGTTTCAGACGATGGAGAAGCTGTTGTGGAACGGCTGATTTTCACCGTAGAACCGACTACCGGAGATAACGGTGTCATGTGTGCTTTATTGTGTGCCTGGCAGCACGGGGAAGTCATATTGGAGCTCAATCCTTATACAACTCTCTTCAATCTGACGCACAATAGGGGCCTGGGCTTAGGTCGGGAGGGAAAGATGACAGAGAGAATTGTTGAAGCCCGCTCACGCGACAAAGTAGAGTACATACCAAATCTCAGTTTTCAAGGCCGCCCAGTCGTCGCGAGAGTGGAGACACCGGAGATCATTAACAACATCTCCCCGAAACACCTCTTATCTTTTAAGGGCGGATTCAAGGTTGCAAACGGGTTGTCGATTGTCAGAGTAGGTTCAAGGACCGATCTTCAGATCGCGGCTGCTGGATCTATCTCCGGGACACACACCATCATGATCGCAGATGACGAAAGTGCCCAACTTATACGAGACAACCAAAAGTTAGACGAGTACAACCAACCGATTCTGTGTCTAAACTTAGAAATCCGAGGTGGTAGCAAAGCATTTCGTTTCGGAGGAACTGCCATTATATTTGGTCATGATGATCTCCCCTCACTGCTAGGACCAACCAATTAATTACTTAGTTAGCCCTTAGTACCTGAAAGTGCTGGTAATTACATGAGTTTTATAATCTTGGTTGAATGACTGGAGGTCCTCGATTGATAGGAACTCTATGTCGCTATCATCCAAAAACCGATTGCGAGACGCTGCTTGGAATTGAGTATTTGATTCATGCTTCGCGCTCTCTGAATCTATCGTTGGTCACATATTATCTTAACTTGGAGGAGTTAAACATACTTAATCTGACTTTCATACTATATATCCGGCGTGTTTTTGGTTGACACATCTGCGCTTCTGAGGACTTTAGGCCAACAGTCTACCGCCTTGGCTTTCCAAGTTGGACGACGTTCGGACCGAGATCGGTCGAACTACTGGAGGGTGAAGATGGAGAAAGAACAAAAGGTATGGAACTAAGCAGGTATATTGAGTCTCTCAAGTATTTTATTGTGGCTGTGCGAGGATGGTGTTCCGCTTTAACACAAATAACCTTCCTCCGTAGGATTTGCTTGTGTCATTCTTGAAGGATTAACTACAAAGACTAAGGCTTATCAAGAACATTTTTCTTACCTGTCCGTACAAGATAAAGTCACTTCTGCTCATCGAGTCACATATGACGTAGTGTAACCTTTGAGGAAGGCGGTGCATAAAGGGGGGTATGTTTAACTTGAGCGAACAAGAAATCGCCCGGAACCACTCTCAAAATTTTACTCATCTGATTCAAGTAAAACTGAATTTTGCTCTATAGTTTGCCTTAGGTTGTGGAAACCCTCTCATAGTTCTAAGCAAGCGATGTTTTTACTCTGAGTATGACTAGGTTGTTATGTTGGGCCGTATAGTACGGAGTAGACCTGCCGAAACGGTGACTGAGGACTTATGTCCATTATTATTTGGTATACCCCTCCTTTAGCGGATGACCAAGAGATTTGTCAGGACTTTATCCATAGGCGATTGAGATTATGGGTGGTGGATATTGCTGCCCCAATGAGATGCAAGTTTTCGACAATTCGCTTATGCCCTGCCCTTGCCCAATAGGTTGGGTAATTCAGCCTCACTATGCATTTGGGCTGAAGAGATACTTAGGGGTAGTACGCATTTCTTGCAAATATCAAAAGCCTCTTTGTTCTAGAGAAGAGCCACATACCTCTTGATATTCAACGATATATTACCGCCAGCAACCGCCAAGATGGTCAAGACGTACGTGATAGCGCCCAACTTCTCCATGGCCCCGCCACCCCGCCTTCGACGGCCAGACGAAACGCCCGAGTTTGGCCCCGTCGCGGCAGCACCCGTGACAGGGCCAGGCATCGGCGAGGATCTCGACAAGGGCCAGCCCCTGGCCGATGACGAAGCCGCGACTGACGACGACGGAGCCGCCTCCAAAGACGATGACACTCCTGCGCCTGACGAGCCGACCTTGATCCCGACAGCCGAGGGCGCAGGTGCACCGACCAGCATCCCGCCGTATCACCCCCTCGTCGAGCTTCAACTGGGCGATGTGCTGATCCACCCGTTCGGCGCGGAGCTAGCGGCGTTGAACCGGGACTGCCGGGTTGCCATCGACGCCAACCACTACGAGAAGATGCACCGGACCCGCAACTTCAACAAGACTCGCCGGGAACTGCTGAACGGGCGGCTGGGCGTATGGGAGAGCCTCTTTGCCGCCATTGGCGCTGGCCCCGAGCTCAACGCCAGCATCTTCTGGGAGTCGCGCTCCGACGACATCATCAAGACGGACGAGCTCCAGACGCGTCGCGTCCGCATTACGAAGCCATATGTTGAAAAGGTGTTGGAATCCCCGGCCGTGAAATCACACCTTCAGAACTTCCCGAATGATGTTCTATGGATGGTTTCGGGCATGAAGTACGTTCTCGCGGCTTTTTAGTCTATTCTTACAACGACCTGTCTTGTCAATGGTTGCTGTTCCCCCCAGCTCTGGAAATATGCGTGAAAACTAACCACCTGCCTGGTTTGAAACAACTATAGAATCGCCAAGGGAGCAAGTCAGACCAGCGGAAGCTCCACCAACATGGGCGCCGATATTGGTGCCAAGGACAAGCTGACGGCCTCGGAGCTGAGGCTTCTCAAACTTCTTTGGAAGAGATGGGATCGAACCACGTTCCAAGCGTCGTCCGAGTTCATCCTGGCTGTCCAGCTGCGTCGCATCAGGCTGGTAGAGGGCAAGCTTGTCAGCGTGACTTTGTCTGGGCGACGTGCCAACATGGCAGATGGTGCCAAGAGACGCGAGGAAGAAGTCGTCAATGTTGAACTTGAGGGGATAGACGATAGTCTTTCCGACGCCGAGGAGCAGTTTAGCAATGATTTCGAAAAGAGAAAGGATGCAAATGGTGACGAGCTGTTTGTGCCGGATCTGTATGGTGATTTGAACGAGGAAGATAGTGAATCGGAGGAAGAAGACTAATGCTAAGAGCTAGCTCACGACAATAGGATTAGGAAGCCGAAAGAAACCAAATTGGCTTCATGAGGACAGACGTTGATAAGGGATACGCAAATGGTCTTCATATTTCCAATTACACAGAATTTAGTAACTTGTGATTGCCTGTATAAACTCAGCCTAGAATGTTTACAACCCCTATGAAGTGATGACATCCAGCCAATGGTTCAGTTCCATCAGTATGCGGGCATCGGTCTTCGCATCGTCCTCTATTACTTCCGGGTCCAATGCCTGTTGTGCATTCCCTTTCACATCATGGTTCCCAAAGGAAAACCCGTCTTCATTCTCAGGGTGGATGAACATCATCTTGTCTTCGGGCGTCTTCTTATAGTTCATGAACGCCTTGAAAACCCGCTCGACATAACTTTTCCGCCACAAATATTCATGCTTCGGGTTCAGTTTGTTTTCTTGGTTTTCGTAGTGAGTCAACCAAGCCAGGTAGCTAGCCGTGATGGCCGCTAGGACAGGAGTTGCGTACGACGTCCCAGACGTATAAGTTTCCTCGTTCTTCCACTTCACCTTGATCCCGTGGCCAAAGGTGCCAAAGTTTGGGGCATCCGACGCAAGAGGGGGGTTGAGGCCGCTCGAGTCATTCCCGACTCCATCGAGAGCGTAGGCGCATATCACTCTGCTGTCACTCGCCGGGTGGGATCGGCTCTTGGTCGTCAGTCCGCTGTTGGATGCCGAAGCAAACACCAGCGGTGTATGGCCCGAGATACCAACTGCTTCCTCGAAGATTCTGAGGCCTTTATCAATCCGATCGCTGACGCTTTTCACGCCAAATGACATGGCTATGATGTCGGCCTTTACCTTCTCGCCCACTGCCCATTTCATAGCCTGAGTTTACGGGTCAGTCCACGGAAAGGGTTATTTTGTTGTCTGTAAAGAGGGAGTTTACTAACCTTTACCACCCCTGGAGTCACCTCAAACTCCATGTCTGGTGAGATCCTAGCAATGTACAAATCCGCATCAGGCGCTAATTTAAGCAAGAGACACGCAAGCTGTGTGCCATGTCCGCAGCTGCTAGTGTCGATGCATGACCTGTCCCCTTCAACGAACGACTTTTGCTCTCTGATGGGGTACCTCGGGTTCTCTTTGTCCTTTGGTCTGGCCTTGGGGTATTCCGTAAAACCTTGTGATCTACGGTATTCTATCACTTCTTTGATGCAGGATTGGAGATCGGAACCGGTGTCAGAGAGCCCAGTGTCCAACAGTGCTATCCTGATTCGCTCTCGAGAGCCTCTATTTTCCTTTGTCATCTTGGGGACAATGAAGCGCCTATGAAACTGTGCAAAGCGGCGAAGAAAGTCTTCCGAGTTATCTTTTACACTATTTGTAGTATGAGACTCCGCCTGGAAGAAACGACTTAGGTGGGACGATGAACTAACCTGGAAAATTCCGCAGTGCTCAAAGACTTACTACTGAATGAACACTTCACAGAAGAAGTAGAAGCCTTACCAAAGTCATTCGTGACCTGATTAACGTTCCTTCTTGGGAGTTTCGTGGCACGAAGGGGTATATCGATACTAGCGATATTCTCTGACCCGCCAGAGTGAAAAGCCAGGTGCATTTCCAGATGCCAGATCACTTCTGTGTAAAAGATTCGGCGCATGTCATTTTGGTCACCCGAGTTGCTCTCGGTTGGGTTGCCAGCTCCTCGTTGATATCTTTTTAGGCTTTTAGTAAAGTCGACGCATCCAAGAACAGCCTGCATGAAGCTCTTGACTTCTGTGACTCGGCCACCCCACTGGAGCATATTGACCTCTAACCAGATCCTCTTCTTCATCTTTTCTTCGTTGTCGTCGAGGTTGATCTCCGTCATGCTGCCCGTCTGGATGTTGAGAAGAAGCTTCGCGAAGGACCAGAGAGTGCGCTGAGATTGGGTCATGGTGAGCCCAGGTGAAGTCGGCGTATTGGACCCCAAACCAGAATCAGACGCATCGGAGTCAGACAAACCAGAATCTCCAGAGAAGTTACAAGTGACATAGGGGTGATGAATATCGTATATTCTTTTCCCCGCGTCTGTTTGCTGGCATAAGAAGTTGATATCCTCGGCGGTCCAAACCTCCTGGGCCCAACCGGTGTGGAGCAGATGAAGCAAGCAACGGCCCAACGATAAAGCCAAAGCCGCCTTGTGTATGTCTGAGATATTATCACCTCCCTTGAGTATTTTTTCAGAGATCAATGCCACAAGCGGCATAGTTGGAGCACACCCAGCAGTTGGGGGTTTTTGCGGAAGCGTGGAAGAGTAGAGGCCGTTGACGTCAAAGTCTATATTCCACATCGAAGGGGCATCATCTTGGCTAAAATGCTTGCAAAGATTCGTAATCATTCTTGGCTCCGTTGGCACACCGTCATCAGTACATGCGCTGTAGCTCTGAGGAGGTATATCCTTCACACAGGAGTCGTCTTTACGATCAGCCATTTGCTCATCGAACCAAGTGAAACGGCTGTGGTGCCACCCAGCTGTCCTTGGGCGGCCGTTTCCCAAACACGGGGACAAGAAGATGTCTCGCTCGACAGTTTCGTCACAGCTATCCAACAAAGTACCATGGAGCTGCAACTTAGCCTGATGAGATCTGCAAACTGATGTACTGTACTGCACAAAGTCATAGAGCGAAGCTGATGCCGTTTGGGATTTTACGTTATCCCACTTGGCCTCGGTAGTTCCCGAGATATCCAGCTTGATATTAGGCGGTTCCAAATTTCGGAACCCTTGGCGTACCGCCAAAATGGCTAGCCTAGCTTCAACGAACCGTTTGAGAGGTTGTCTCACGTTCAACCATTGCCGCGCCTTTTCAGGCTGCTGTGAGAAGAGCTGGCCAAGAGCCTGTAGTTTGTGATATTTGGGAGTTATGCCGGGGCTGGCAGGGGAAGATTCAAGCGTCGCTTCTGCGGGCGGTAGCTGGGCAACGTTGCCTTCAGGCCTCCTTCCCGCTTCAACCGTCGCCCCGGTGAATAGACGGCCTGTGAGCTCCATCAATTGCTTCCAGTTGGGGATATCGATCCACCTTTGGCGTTGGGGCTCACGTGCGGCGGCCGCCTTCACAACGCCTGCGGCGACAAACACTTCCAAGGAATCAAGGAGCCTTTTAAGCCATCGCTGGCAGAGCGAGAGCTGGTCTCTAGAGAGCCTTATGCTTGGACATAGACCAGGAAGATCCTTCACATCTCTCCTAAAGTAGTCATGGAAGGGTTCGAAAGCAAGCCCGTCGCTTGCAGCCTTGTTCTTATCCGAGGATTTGGGATCATAATTCCAGTCCAGATCCTGCAAGAATATGGGCTGCACGCTCTGAAATATGCGCCACAACTCAAAGTCCTCATCGAGTTTGGCGTAGAGCGGCAGCTTTTCGTCCATGGCCAGGGTTGCGAGCAAAGGGCGCAGGTGGCCAGTAGGGCTGCATGTGCAGGATAAAACCAACGGCAATATTCTTGCTCGAAGTTTTGGTGTCAGACTTGGGCTCTTGCGTGATCAAAAACCGCGGAGATTCCCTCATCGGAGCCCGCGGGGTGTTGGGTGACAGAATTGAATCAGCTGGCCTGCAGCCTCTTTCTCATGCAGCAAACTAGAGGGAGGGGCTGAGAGAAGATCGCGCCATCCTCATTCGTTCCAGCCCTCCTTAACAAATGATGACCGAGGGGTAATAGAGGGTGCACCAAATGTCTGCAGCTTACTGATAGTGACAGGATTCAGCCAAGTGGTGTGCTGATTGGTAGTAATGCGGAGTACGTGCATATATCAAGCCCCCGCATCTTCAAGCCTGCTTTTTTCCTTTTCTTTCAGGCTTTCCATCAGATGATCAAGAGCAATGGGGCCAGCTGGCATAGCCATCGCGTCAGTAGACTTGATAATCAAGTCCGTCGAAACATGCCGAAGTCTCTTTGGAGAGTTAAAGGCCCTGCTCGAGGACAGAGATACATCTATAAAGCGTCCAGTTGAGCATCAGCAAGAACGATTCCACGCCTTGGCCAGCCGCCTAGAGTTGTTTACGACAGCTCGTGGCTCATTGGGTGCGCCGATTGCCAGCCTACCCGAAGACACACAAGGTGCCATCATTGTGTCACTCAGAGTAACGGAGCGAAATCTCAGCCGCAGTAGGTGTATTCCTTTGTTAAATCTGCATCCTCTTGAACCTACCAAAAATAAAAATAAAAATTGGACAAAGGCAAACGGTCCGCTGCTGGTGTTGATGCTAATTCCACCTCCCAAAAGTTGTCGACCTCGAGTCAACTAAACCGACATCCCGAGATGATCGGTACTGGCAATTGCTCAACATATCTTGGTTTGACCTCAAATTTCCTAGCCTTAAAGGTCCAAGTCAGCCATCCGATAACCCCACAGATCTCCATTCACTTAGCCAGACCTGCTTGGCGATCGTCGAGGAATCGATCGGTCGGCTCATCGACCATACTGAGACTCTCCATGCCCGCGCTGATGACGCTGAAAACCACCAGAGGGGAATCAAGGCTGAGCTCCCTCGTAACAATGATAGCAGTAGTGAAGCAGTTGGGACAAAACAGGAGATGACATTTCAAGCTATAAGAATACGCGGTCTAGTTTCTAGCCGATTCCCCAAACTACGCGGACCTTTGCTGGAGCGTATTTCCGCCTCGATTGAGGCAAGAAGACATAAAATGGCACAGGAAGCACTTAAGAAGGCGCACAAATCGTCATCTAAGAACCTCCGTGAATTGGCGCGGGCCAAGGACTCAATGTACTATCCCGGGGGCTACATTGAGCCAACCACAATACGACCGAGACATTCGGAACATTTCAACCTGTACAAATATCCGGAACCTTCTGGAGGAGAGAGTGTCAACGCGGGTGGGAACTTGTCCTGCAGATTCTGCCACGAAAGTCTCGGGCCAAAGAAACTACTAATGACATCGGAGTGGCGGTAAAGTCTGACAATGCAACCCCCTTCAATAGCAATTGCAGTACTAACTTTTTCACCTCCAAAGTCGACATTTGATTGAGGATTTAAAGCCGTACCTTTGCATACTTAATGATTGCCCAACGCCAAATGCCGTTTTTGCGTCTTTCATACAATGGCAACGCCACATGGACTCAGTTCATAGCCCTCAATGGTTGGAACGACTCCAAGATGGCACCATGTGGTACTGCGACGTAGATTCATCAGAGCATCGGGTATTCCCCAGCGCCAACGAACTAGAGCTTCATGTGAAATCGGATCACGGCGACAGCGTTCCGGCTCTCGCGCTCGCAACTATGCTGAAACAAAATGTTACAGTCTCGTCTCGTGGCCAGGAATACTGTCCCATCTGTGATGAGCTTGTTGATCCTACTGACTACGACCAGCACGACAACGTTGATACGTCCTTGAACGAATCCAGTCTTGAGGCCACTGTTTCCGACCAAGTCTTCATCATCCACCATATTGCAGAAGACTTGAGAAAACTTGCTTTTTTGTCTTTTCAATACTTGGATGGCAGCATTCCCAAGGAGATTAACGAGGGAAACACTCAGCCCACGGACCCTGCCACAGTGAGTCTGGGGCATTGTTCGACATATCTCCAAGTGGGCGCCACATCCAACCTTCTGGATATTGATCAGTTGCCCCCATTAGATATGGACGAAAGGCCCAGCCCAGTCAAAATTGAACAGCCACCCCAGCCGTCTGAAGCAATGTCAATGAGTGGGCTGAGGAAGTTGATCCGCTCCTCCCAAGTGGAAAGCGCTTTCGACGCTCGACCATTTGTTCCTCGTAGTGTCTTGACAGAGTTGATCACTAAAGAAACAGTCAGATCCATCATCAATGATGGCTTCGACACAGAACCAGAAACCAATCTGGAAGAAGTGTCCGAGTTTGTCGCATCAAACGCGAGAGCATTCTTCGCCATTCTCGTTTCAACCGTTCGGGGAAGAGACCTCGCCCTCGCTGTCAGCACGCTATATCGACACAAGCTAACGGATCACTTCTTACCCATTTCCGAAAAGATTATTGACGATAATTGCGAAGAAAATGACAAGTATAGGACATGCAAGCACGCCCCCGAGCTCAACGCGTTCCATGAAGAGCCGTGGGATCTCGCTACGCTTGAATATTTCCATTTCCGTCAATGGGAGTTCCTAGCTCATGTCTTTAGTGAAAACGCTCAAATCTATCAACTTGAGTCCATGACAATTCTCCCGTTTGTCAATATGGGTTTAGATCGTAAATCTGGGCTTTTTGGGGATGTGTCCGACGTCGAGATCCATCCAGCCCATCAAGAACTACATACAGATGTGAGAATCTCCATCAACCCTGGTGTTAAGTCCGTTGTTTAGTTACTAACTTGTTCAAGCCTCCCGAGTCAGTACCCCGGCTGGCCTTAAAAGAATTTCGTCTTGTACGTTCCGGGCCGACCACACAAAAAGTTCTCCAAAAGGCATTCGATACCGAAGCAAAAATGATGACGGAGAACTTGGGCCAGGAAAATCTCTTGGTCGCAGTTGCAGCCATTTGTCGAGGCGGCAATCGTTATCTTCTATACCCTTGGGCCGACGGTGGCGACCTCCGATCCTTTTGGATTAAGACGGAGACTGCCTCGTCCTTTGACAGATCTTCCCTCCTCGAAGTTTTGGACCAGTTCTCCGGCTTGGCGCAGGCTCTGGCTCACCTGCACGGAAACAGGATCAGGCATGGGGATATCAAGCCAGACAATATCCTCAGATTCACCAAAGAGAATACCGTTGTGGGGTCTCTAAAGCTGGGAGATATGGGCCTTGCTAAATACCATGAGAAAAGGACCGAGGAAAGACAAGCCATGACGGATACCAAACTGGCAACCGTGCTCTATGAGGCACCAGAAACCCACCTCGACAGACAGGGACCTATTTCTAGGTTGTACGATGTCTGGTCTTTGGGCTGCGTTTTTTTCGAGTTTGCTATTTGGCTAGCGTATGGCGTGGGTGGACTCGACGCATTTTATGGCTTGCTCGGGAGTGACTCGTCGAGTGAGAAACGCTTTTTTCACATTGAGACAAAGCCCGGCACAATAAAAGCTCGACTTCATCCTGGAGTTCGGGCTTATCTCGAGCAATTGCGAAATCATCCATTGTGTGGACAAGGAACGGCTTTTGGAGACCTTCTCCGGTTTGTACAAGAACGAATGTTAACGATTTGTCTACCAATATCTCCACCAAAAGAGCTTATAGGTTACTCCTCCGAGCAACTGGAAGCGGAAATCTTTGTCAAACCCGTCCCAGGCATGAAGTTTCGCACTGCGGCATCGGATGATCCGCCCTCGCTTCAGAACCCAGCCGAGACCCGAGCAGACGCCAAGACAGTATTTGCAACACTCAGGCATATCTGTGAGCGCGCCCGGGCTGATCCAGATTATCTTCTACCAAGCGGCAGCATCAAGCCAGGCTCTCTTGCTTCGAAACCTAGCATGCTGGCTAGATCGGACTCTCTGGGTCTGAATTTCCGTACAGAGGAGTTGAGACCTTACCAAAAGTATGTAGGGCTGGGACTCGGCGCTTCAGAAAATCATGGTATCAAGGTACGTGACTTTTTTTCTTTTCACAAGCCAGTAAACGAAACTAGATTTCTCACTTGGTCATTGCGACTAACTCATAAACTGTCACAGCAGCTTGTAGGTCCCAAAACTCATGCTTCACCCTTCTCAGCTACGACTAATATATCATGTTTCTTTAGCAAGATGTCTGGGACTTTACTGTGGACAACAAATTCGCCGAAGATTTTCTTGCTTGCATTGAGAAAGAAAGCCTACGTTTATTAACAGACCCGTACATCAACTCGGATCAGCCACGACTATGTGAAGAATGCAAGGGCATTAACTTCGGCGATCCAGCACTCGACTTCGTATACCCCATTTCTTACTTGGAAGCACATGTAAATGATTGCGACTTGTGCAAACTGTTCTACGAGGTCGCTGCGACTTTAAACTTACCCACGAGCTTGACGCTCCAACTTGTGCGGAAGAAATCTATTCTTACCAATGGCGTCAACGGTTTACCCCTCTTGTCTCTTGTCGGTGTACCAGGTAAGAAACACGTTCCGGCTCTGCTGCCCGAGAGCAGTCTGACATAAAATGATAATTGTCGTAGAGCAAGCAAGACCAGTAACGAACGACATTCAAATTGGGTTGCCACAGCTACCGGGACCAGCACCAAACAACAGTATATCCATGGCACTTGCGCGTCATTGGATTTCTTCATGCGACGTGCACCACTCTTGTATGGGAGCGACAGATACCATGTCGCCATCTCGGCTTCCGACACGGTTGCTGAACGTAGGGGGCGATGGCTCTTCAATCATCAAACTTCAAAAAACCAAGGGCATGAATACACCTTTGAACTACATTGTTCTTTCTTTTGTCTGGGGCTCCGGGGGGACCAGCACCGGTGAAGGCCTCACGTTTCCCCACAATATCGAGGACCATGAGCGAGGCATCGATTTCTCTAGGCTTCCTAAAGCCTGCCGGGATGCCATCACGATTACCCGCGAGCTCGGCATTGAGTATCTGTGGATTGACAGCCTGTGCATTGTCCAGGGTCCCGATGGGGATTTCGCGGAGGAGGCGCGGAGCATGGAGGGCATCTTCAACAACTCCTACTGTCTCCTTGCCGCGTGTTCATCCTCCAGCATACAGCAAGGTTTCCTGGAACCACGGCAGCCACGCCGGACTGTTTCTTTGGGGTCCCTGACGGGCGAAGCACTCGTCTTGTGTGAACTTGTCGACGACTTCGAACGGGATGTCGACCTGTCTCCCCTATACAGCCGAGGCTGGACATTACAGGAGAGAACCTTGGCACGCCGCACGATTTTCTTCACGTCGAAGCAGATGTACTGGCAGTGCGGCGAGGGAATCCGCTGTGAAACTCTCACCAAAATGTCCAAGTAAGTACCATCGTCCCAGACTATAACGACGTGGAAAACTCTAACCTGTGTTGAATTTGTAGCTTCAGAGCCGGTCTTTATGGCAGTCCGGATTTTCCAAAATCATTCCTAGCCAAGACTAAGATCTCTCCCGTCTCTATTTTCAAGGATCTCTATAAGACGTACTCGCGGCTACAGTTTAGCAACTGGGCAGACCGGCCTATTGCCATCCTAGGCTTAGAACACAGACTTTCTCGCGAAACTGGGTGTAAAAGTCGGCATGGCATCGTGCTTGGCAAACCGGAGTACCTTGGCCAAAGCCTGATGTGGCGAGCAGCGACCGAGACTGGAATGTGTACTATCAAATTCCCATCACAGCGACAACCACCAAGTTGGTCGTGGATGGCCTATACAGGAGAGATCAGCTATCTAGATCTCCGGCCGGGAGAGGTCGAGTGGGAATCCAGCATTTCCATGATTGGTACTGAGTCCTCGGCAAATGAATGTTCCGGAGAGTCTAGCACTTCCAGTTCACTTTCAGCCCAATGTTTGGATTTCAACAGGGAGAACCTCGCAGAGGCATGCTATGATGGGCCAGAAGATGCGGCGCGAGAGGATCAGAAATGCGTCATTGTAGGCCGGAGCCCAGGTTCTGACGATGCTCAGTCAACATTCTACCTGCTTCTCATTGCCAGAGGAGGCCCAGGAAACATCTACCTGAGAATAGGAGTTGCTCTCGCTGAATCAAAGGCTCTTTCCTTAAGAGTATCTCCCGAGGACGTTGTCATAATATAGCGGAATTTTAAGATCCTGATACTCTGCAAGTGCAGTGATGATTTTTAGGTACGCCGAGCAGGTGTGATCTAGGAGAATGCCTTTCGCGTATTTGTAGCTAGCCAAGATATTACCTCTTGTTATCAAACTGGGTACTAAGGCTAGCAATGTTGGAGTAACCAAGCGAATTCAAATGTTAGCCCGGCCTTCATACATCTACCTCGTAAAATAAGAGACTTTCTTATGCAGTGCAAGTAAAAGGACAAAAAGGTCTTTACCAGTGAACCAAACACTGCAGTGCTCTTATGCTAACGAAAGATTATCCCACTAAACCATTCGATCCCCAAGGTACCTTACTATATCCAAGAATAAAGACTTTACAGTATTAAAGAAGATACTTAGAAGCCTAAAAAGGAGGCACTTCTATAGAAATAGAGAGATACATAGGAGCCTGGGTTTTCCTTTGGTATACTTATAGATAATAGAGGTGGCTATTGATATGCTTCTTATTCCCTGCCTTTCGAGAGTGATAAGGAGACCAAAAATCATACAACAGCGGGTATTCGCTGGTCGTCACCGACCCAACTACTAATCCACCCCTCAAAGGCTTGACTATGGGAGAGCGAACGGGATCCCTGGAATTCCGGTAGCAACGCCGTTTTCAGGGTAATCCACGGGGCAACCGCTTCCCCACTGGGTAAGCTAACCACCGTTCATCGGCTGACCGGGGCCGGGACCGTTTGACGCCTGCTAAGCGCCGGGGCTTAGGCTGGCCACCCCCCCCCTCCCCTTTCGTGAATTGCGACTTCCTAGAATTGATATTTCGTTCCCTCAAAAGGAGGGTTGCATCGGGATTGGCCTTTGATGCAATATTACGTAGATGCAGGTAAGCGACAGCTCACTCATAAGCTTGGGCGCCCCCCTCCCGCGACCTACGAGTCTACGACCCTTCGTCCTCCGTGCTCCGTGCCTGTCTTCCAATTTCCAATATCGATGACCCTGACTTTTGATACAGAGAGGGCCAAGGCCCATATCCAGCGTTTCAATAACGAGACCGTGGTTTATAAGCCTTCTCCGAAGACGAAAGCCAGATACGACCGTATCTAGAATGCCTGGGAACAGTATATGCCCCTGATTAGCCTGCTGCTTTTCTTCGCTGATCAGTGTCAGATGGGCCTCACAAATGGGCGTGGCGGTGGAACAGACTTAGGTTAATCTCGCATCACAGACTGAAGTAGCAATGAATCACTGTCAAGCGTTTCTAGCCTCGTATTTTAAGGCATACACGAAGGAGATTGTCATCCATGGACCCAGAGAGACAGAGGTTGTGCGGAGGGTGAACTCAGCAAAGACCATGCGGGATTACTGGCTGGCTCTGGTCAGAGTTGCTGACTTAAAGTTCATGTTGCCTAAGAGAAGGGAGTTCCCTCAACAGGCCAGCTTCTAGACGCTGACATATAACCCTAGAAGAGAGGGTGATAGCATCTTTAATAGGCCGGCCCGCCAAATTTCAAATGTAAGTCAGGGATTTCTATCCTTATGCAGCTTCTTAACTGATTTCATCAAGTGGTTGCCGACCCTAGCTATAGAGCTTAAGGCTAAGCTCGAGCAAATGTTTGTGAAGCGCGCGGCAACCGCGAACGACATAATGCTTATTATCACAACCGTATGGAGCAGATTAAGTGATATTATCTACAATCCGAGACACCGAATCGATTTTCATCAAGCTGTACTTTTAGCAGGGATTAGCGGTTAGCGGCCAGAAGAGGTTCTTAGCATTCCTTATGAAAGGGTTGAAATCAGATGGCTGCGAAATGTAAGTGACCCGTTGAAACCTTGGCCCATGTGCAACATTACCATAAAACACGTTGAGAAGGGCAAGAGCAAAGACAGGATCTATATAGAGCAACTGAAATAGTGAGTAAAATAATATATGAAAGGCTGTATGTATCTCGCTGATCGTTACAGTGTTACCTTCTGGTTGATGGTTGTGCTGAACTGCCTGATCTGCCCTCTTAGATTGCTAATTCTATAAGCACTTGCAGATTAAGCATTTGAGGAGGGCTACACCAACTTGGATTAAATTCTGCAGAAAACGTGGGACTCTGATCCAGGAGTTACGTTTGTTCCGTTGGCTTGGAAGAAGTCTATCATAGGACAAGGCATCTTCAGGTTAGCATACTCCAGATACTAGGAAATCTAGCGAAGAACCTGTCTAGTAGCTGGCCTGAGCGATGAGGACGAAATCAGGCCATATTCTCTTTGAGTCAGCGCCGGCGATCGGCTCTCGGGTATATTGACACATCCACCCCTGGTTCCAGTTAGTGCTGATAGCTTGTCTAGGCTGCTTAGTAGCACCTTTGCGAAACTTTATATTAGGTTATACTAATAAGGTTTTTAAGCGAAGTTATTTACCTTATAATATTAACGCAAACCTACTACATATAACGTTTCAGGGTTTAGCAAGCAGTACCCAAGCTATATTAAAAGCGACGCGAACAGCATTCCTAAGGAGGGATAAGAAAGCACCAGTCTATATCACTTAATTAGAATAGGACACCCTAGAAGAGAGAGTAAATATAAAAGAACTACGATGCAAGCTTAACTAGATACTAAGAAAGTCATCTATGGAAGCGAAGAGACTGTCTAGCAGGATTAGGACCATAAAATTAACCGCTAAAGGTTCCATCCTTAAGTCTACCCGCTGATAGTATTTCAATAACGTAAAAAAGCTATAGGAAAAGGGTCTCCTAATAGATTATCTTATTACCTAAGCTATTAGCCCGCATAGGTCATGGCTTCGGGCCTTATATAATGCGGCCTCCACAGTTAGTGCTTAGCTCATTGCTAACCCTGAAGACCCTGGTGTCTCTGATATTATGCTCGCATATCTACAAAAGCGTCTGGGTCATTGTACTAAGGGCGAGGATACTGATGATAATGAGGATGAGGAGAAATTCAATAAACCCAACGAACTAGAGAAGGACTAGCAGTTGAGGAAGGTCAAACTGAGATGCCTACTAGGGTGTGGCGACTTCACTACGAAATACACGCTTATAAAATATATGAAGCAGTAGTACGCGGGCTTATTCACTATAGTATTTCTATGCCTAGAATATAAGAGGCTTAGGAGTAAGGTCTAAGTCCCCTCGGGTCTAGAGGCTTAGTGCAGTTATATTACATGATATCATAGTAGTATATACACACCCTTAGCAACTAATAGAGCATCGACCTACTTTCTATGCGGCGAATGCGGCCTAACTAAAAGGGGACTTACATCACATACGTCATTAAGGCACAAGCGAGCTGGCCATTTTAACCAACCCTTCGCTTATCCAGAGTATAAGCGGATTTAAGGGGTCAATCACATGGTATTAGGACTAACAGAATGGGAGGACTATGTTACTGAAATACACCTGGGGGTGAGCATAAAGAAGAGGCGTCTTTCAGAGGATATCACTTTTATTCTAAAGAGGTTTAAGGTAGACTCAGATGAAGAAAGCTTCAGGGATGTAACTAGTGTAGAGGCCAGCCTGGACCCTTATACCAAGGAGGAGTTTTAGGTGACAGGGAGGGACTCTAACTATAATTAAAGAAGGCAATAATAGCTCGATTTATATATTAATACTACCTATCTTAAGAGAAACTTAATCCTTGTAGTTATAGCCTGTGGCCTTTAGGCTAATGGCTTGCGAGAAGCAGTTAGGCTAAGACTGCCGTTATAGGTTTGTAGGGGGCTATGGATGCACGATGAGGATCCTATGACCTCTTAAAGTAGAAGATAGCTGTTCTATAAATGGCTTATGATTATTGCCTATTAGCCGCCGCAGCTAAACTAAAGATAATAAAAAGCTATAAAAGGAGGCCTCTCCCCCCAACTTAGAGCGCTCTAACTTAAACCTTTTATCTATACTTACCACCTCCACTACCTCCTCGATAGTCTCTATTAAGGCTGCTTTAACCCTTCATATACACTTACTAATCATATCCTTCATTTAAACCACATCTCTCCACCAATTTTACATCATCTTTACGCCGAAAACGAGCTATAACGTTAATTCAAGGCAATATAAGTGCTAAGACATTGAGCATTCTTCTAACCCGCCTTAGACCCAGGAAAACTCCAGCTATAGACTAGAAAACGCTTAGAGCTTATAGCTATCTTATCGTGATATATACAGAAGAAGCTAAGTAAATTCGCCGTACATTATCTAAGCCTATACCTCCCGCTATCCTATTCCCTTGGACTTTGAAATACTAGATATAGGTTTAGGATATCGAGCTTAAGTATAATGTATCCGAATTCCACCGCGCTAAAATGGTGGATAGGGTGCTAAAGATTTTAATAACCTGGCGTCCCATAGAAGTGAACGTGAACTAGCTGCCGGAAGCCTTTACGAAAAGGTTATAAGTTCTATACACTAATGATGAGTGGGACAATTTCAGAAAGAACTCTTATCTATAGTATAGGGAGAAACATACTTTTCGGCCTCATTGTGTTATTATAGAGGCAGAAGGAGTTAAAGTCGCAGGCTTCTAGAAGAAAACATATATAGGGATTAAAGAAGTTTCATATAAGCTCTTAGATAAGGCATATATAATTATTTTAAGAGATTTAGGGGAGCCAGGATAGGAATAGTATATTCACATTTAGACAAAGATATTTAGTCCTTCTCATTCTATAAGCGCTATATTACATGTAAATCTAGAGAGAGAACTAGAAGAGAATATAGAAGAGATAGGAATAGAGGAGGAAGAGGTAGAAAAGAGGCTAGAAGAGGTGATAATAATAGAGGAGAAGGTAAGGTTAAAGGTAGAGATAGACTACGAAGATAATAAGTTCTTATCTAATTTTTAAGTTAAGCATCATTTTCAATTAATTTCATATTTCCATCCAGCCCTTAAATAAGTGAGTTTTTAATCTCAATGCATTATAGTTCACTACAACAACAGCAGGTAAGGGCTTTAAGCTCAAGCCCCTTTATTCGGATGGCGAGGAAGTACAGTAGCTATAGTCCACAGAAACAGATCGTACATGCTATCTAGTGCTAAACCTTCTAATCGCCCTATCCCTCTTACACGCTATATTTACCTAATTCTACCACGCATCCGCGGAGAGCCTAAGAAGCTTAGTAGAGCTAAGCTATCCCGCCAAACATCAGCTAGAACTAGCTATAGCAGTTATACTGGCTACTAGGAGAGGTTTAACTATCTAAGCAGCAGTAGCGGCAGGAAGACCCTAGGGTATATCTCTTTAGTCCTAAGCTACTAAGGAGGCTAATTTATTAGTGCTCTAGTGCTATATATACTACTATAGCAAAGGGAACTACTAAAGACCACTCTAAATATCTATCTAGATCTGGTTCTCTTTGTAAATAGTAAGTATTAGTGGATAAGCACCCTTAGGGATACATATAGGATCCTTATCTATCTATTACTTTCCTATTAACAGCAAGTAAGTTAATAGATTTACTATTCTATAAGCCCTATCGACATAACCTACTCCCCAGCTTAGCGCCGTCCTTAGAACTCTTTCCGCCTCTGCCTATAGTTATTACCCTTTCCCTTTCCCTTGTCAGGGTATACATTAGTTCTAATGTGAGTCCTCTCAGCATTCTTTTAATTCTTTCCATTTTATAGGGCCAGGTACTATGGCTATTAGCAGTTAATATTTTAGGTTATATATAGTTATACCTAGCTCATCAACTCATCTTCAAGGCTTTCAGAGTAGGTAAAAAGGCTTTAAACCATATTCAGTAAGTCTAGTACTACCCAGGAGTCAATATTATCATTAGTGAATCTGGTTCTAAGACTCTAAAATTCAGAGTGCATAAGCACAAGCTCGGAGCTACTTAATCATGAGGAATCCATGCTAGAGGTGAATTCTTCATTTCAGCCGGTTGGTTAATAGGCCTCATTTTATACAGGCTTTTCTTTAAATTCAAATTTAACAAATCATCCATGACGTAGATTGAATTTTCGCCGCGTAACCGCTATTAATAGACTAGCTGCACATCAAAATACATTCAGCAAGAGCCAGCAATCTAAAAGAAAATAAAAATGTCGGAATACGATGCTATGATTATCCAGTCTTATGAAATCCCTATCCTGTATTACGCCCTTGCTGGTCTTTGCAATTGGCTTTTTCTGGCTGGCTTTATTGTATTCCCTGGCGCATTTAGTTCTCTGCAGGATGCCAACATCTTAGCGCAGTCAGACGCTAGCGTCACGCTACAACGGGCCATTCAACATTCCCTACCACTCTACATAGGCGGCTTCACCTATATCACTAGCTTCCTCAGACTCCTTTATGTATTTTAGAGGGTGAGGGAGAATTATATTTAGCTGCTTAACTAAGTATTTATATACATCACCACCACAGATTAATATTATTCTATTAATCATAACAGGCCTAGGATAGCGAATGCGCTAGTAGGAGTACTAATAAGTATTATTAATATCTACACAGCCCAAGACGGGCACTAGTCTCGGACGGCAAAGGTGACCATATCCGTTGCCAGAGCCTATAGGGCAATAATGCTATTCTTATTTAGGCTATATTCATTTTACCTATATAAATTAATGTGATAACACCTGTAGTGCTGTATACGCCTGAATATTCTGGCTAATTGGTGCCCCGTACTACATTGGTCATAAGCTGTTGGTGATCTTCATGAATAGCCTGACCACGCGCACTAATAAGAGCACCAATAAGAGATCGCTTTAAGTATTTACTTCGCCATATAGCCGACCCTCCTCGGTTACCTAACTTTAGCCGGAGCCTTATATCCTCTTTTAGCCTGGCTGCTCCGGCATAGCACAGGCTTTTTTTTATTTAACATAAACGCAGAGCACCATTTAGAGGAAAGCCTGTCTGACCACGGCTAAGCATGAGTATTCGCGATTCCATCCCTATGCCTTATGGCAGCTGCGGCAAAGGGGTCCAAGAGGGCCGCCAGTGGCGCATTTTTAATTCCCCCTTAGTATGTTTGTTTGCCTGTTCCAAAACAACTACTAATATAGAGATAGATTCTCTGCCGGAAGTACAGCGAGCGAAAAATTTTGGATCAACAAAAGGTGGTACTCCATACCAGCCCACTTCATATATACGGCGCTTGTTCTAGAAAATCGGCGATGGTGTTAACGACTTATACGCCCATCATTGAGGGTGCGTTATAAGGCCATTCCTTATGTGCTAACTGCTTTTTGTCAATATTATCTATCCGCCCTGGCTCGACAAAGATCAGCTGTCTTATCTGCAAAAACCAAATCATTAAAGTGACCGAGACACGGCCTGACGCGGTCTTCTCTCGCATTCAGAATCAACTAAACCCATTTACTGACTGCGACCCAACTTTGCTCCTTGGAGTGAGTATACTCACGCGGTCTACGAGCCTGTACTTCGGCGAGGATACTAAAGCACAGATAAAAATACCTCGAGAATAGTTAGTGACCCCTCCAGAGATATAAACCCCTCTAAAGCCGCAGTAGTTTAATTACCTACGGTGTGCTTCATTCACAATGCCCTTGGATTTATAAGACTTAGGAGCTAAAGCCTGGTTTAAGCTTCACATAGCTAAAGATGGAAATCTTCCAAGATGAAATAGATGCATTAGCTATTCACTTCAAATCTAATCAAAATATTAGTACTATAGATCATATATAGGATGATTTTGAATTTAAGGTAGTAAAACGGAATTTAAATACTTTAGTACAGAGGTTGTTAGTGGAACGGTCACATCCACGTATTCATATTACGCTGGAGAGGGCTAAAATATAGAACAGGTATATGTGGATTTTCTGATTATTACTAGTATAATTAGTGGATCTAGCAGCGAGGGACGGGACTAACTAGTGAAGCTATTTACTAGTATAGTAGCCTAGAGCTTTACTAATAAATATATATACCAGTATGATCTACGGTATGTTTACTAGTAGCGGAATATACTAGTTAGCTAGAAGGGCTATTAACTAGTAACATTAGCCTGACTTTTACTAGTAAGGGCAGATACTAGTAAGTAGGCTCCAATCATTACTAGTAAGTGAGCCACAGCAATCCGGGCAAAGATCAGATACTAGTAAATAGGCTCTAACTACTACTAGTAAGTAAGCCATAGCATTCCAGGCAAAGATCGGATACTAGTAAATAGGCTCTGACTACTACTAGTAAGTAAGCCATAGTAGTGCGCAGAGCGAGACGCGCCTTAACTATACATAGTGTAGCTTACTAGTATAAGGTTGGCGAGAAAGGATTAGATACTAGTCATTAGGCTCTAACCATTACTGGTAAGTGTGTCTCAGTAACCCGGGAAAAGATTAGGTACTAGTAAATAGATTCCAACTACTACTAGTAAGTATATGCTAGTAGTGCATAGAGCAGACGCGCTCTAATTACACACAACGAGGATTACATATATGGGGAAAGCATCACATACTAGTAATAGTTCCAACCGTATCGCAGTACAGTGGCCCTCTACGCCCAAGGCGTTTTAGGTCAGTGCTAGGCAGGCTGGATCTCTCACACGCTTACTAGCCCTAGCGCTTAGCCAGTACTACCATATACTAATAGGGTTTATATAGATTACAACGTTAAGTAGATACACTAATAAATTACATCGTTCGCATTAAGATTATAACACGTGGTTATCTCCGACATTAACCCCCAGAATCTAGCCAAGCATCCCTTCCATGAATATCTTCAGGCTTTATTTAAGATTTTCAACTGCTTCACGAAAATCGATACCCATAGTAAGAAGCTTTAGCAGCGCCATTTCCAAAGAAGAACTAAGGTTATTAATCTCGGCATTTGAAGCCGAGACCTTCGCTTTTAGTTCATTCAATCGGAAGATAATCTGATGCAACAAACTGCACAGGGTCAGAACGCATCAGCAAGCAATAAGGTGGCATGATTACCTTTCATCCACGCATGGGGTATATTTGTTCGGTTCCTCCGGATGCTGCGACTGAAAAGAGAAAGGATCGGCTGATATGAAGTCCTGTAGCTCTTGCGTGTTCAACTCCCAACCTGGTGACTGCGGACCAACAAAAGTGGAGTCAACAGGAAAGGGAGATTCATGATTAGAAGACAAGGTAGAGCTATCAAAATCGAGGGGTGGTAGTGTTAGGGCATCCGAATCTAGTGTGTCTGCAATCTCAGTGCTAATATCGCCAAAAAGATTCTCATCGAAGTCCATGATCACTGTAGAGGTGCTTAAGACTGTGCCAAAGGGAGATAAAGAGCTTATTTCTTGGTAGACATCGGATGAATATATATACTTTACGTAGGTCTAAAAATACACATCTTAGCCGCTATACTAATTTTCAGTATTAAAATGTAAAAGATTAAGTTAAGTAGCCAATATAGTATATAGACGCCGGCTCACCCAACCACCACCTAAGGTCATCAATGTATGCAATTATGTTGACGATTCGCGCCCTCTACCTTGCCGCCTTTCTCATGGGTGTAATAGCGCTTCATCCAGAGCTCTATATAATAGAGCCCATTCTGAAGGTCGTCGCAGGCGAGTCCTCACAATCAATTATATATGTAGGTCCCCCGTAACCCATCCGAATCCACTAACCCTGGCTTAGGGTTAATTCTTTGGTTAGTAGGTGTGATGCCTGGATGTATTTTGATGACCCTGCTTTTTTGCTAATTCAATACTCATTTAAATAGGTTCAATGTGATGGTTGGCGACTCCACCGCTTCAATGTGCCTAAGGATGTACTAAATGGGCAGGTCAATATTGTTTAGTATGCATCCCGAGTGTTAGTTATGGCCGAACCATACTAAGTAGTTATTATAGGCATTACGCCGGTCTAGATCCCTCGTGTAGCCGCGCCATAGTTTCCAATGGGTTAGCCAATGAGGCGATGGAATTGGACTACGAGGGGTCTGTTGAGTGTGCCACTAGTGCTCCATCCACGCTAGTGACGTCGACCGTATCACCAACAGTCTCTATTGTCTCGACAAAAATGACCATTCCTGGATTCACAGGTACGAACTCATCACCAACGCAAAGTATCAGTTCATTTGCGAGTACTCCAGGCTCATCCTTAGGTACTTCAGGCTCAAGTGCCCCATCTACAAGCACCACCACTCAGCCTAGTACCATCAGTCACTCTTCAAGTATTACTAGCTCGTTTACAACTACCACAACTTCTCCCACAAGTACCGATTTTACGCGCGCTATTAATACTACCGTTACATCGCAAACAGCTGATTTTAGCACGAAGGCAAACGATAGGGTATTCACTAGCTCAGGGCCTCAAACCACCGTGCCTCTCAGCTCAGTTCTTACTACGACCATCATATCTACTTTGAGAATCATCGAAACCATAAGCGCTGAGTGTACCCCCAGATTGTGATTCAACTTATATCTGGACCAGCTAAGACGGGAAGATTGGGCGTGGCTAGGAATAGGAATCTATTTTTGATTTTATAATTATCTCTTTGTCTAAGTATAAATCATTTAGAATGCCTCAGATAATTGATTGCATTCGATTATATCTAATCCCAATAGCCTCACTTGGTTTCACTCCACCTTCTCTGCGCTCCTCTTCTACCAACTCAATGGAAGATCCCCGACGTCAGTGGACTCCGCGCCCACGCTTTGTCCTTTATGAAGGGCCCCAAGTACGCACGCAAGATGAGCAGAAACCAATTATATCGTTCTGGTACCAAGGGATTGACATCTTGGCCGGTATACTCAGTACAGCAAAAGAAATTATATATATTCATCGCTTAGCATTAATTGCTGCTACTAACTATGTAATAGAAGGATATTCTGGTATCAGCGGTCGAGGAGATCCATAGATTTAGGCAAGATGTTGCTAACATAGTAGGTAAATCTCGCCGTCGTTTAGTAATTTCCACTAAAGTTAGCCAGAATGCGCGGGAAAACATTCCAATACTATTCTCTACAGATGCATTCAGTACATCTTCTACCCCTGAAGGGTTTAACCCTCCAACTCCGCCCGCATTTAATCCTCCGACTCCAGAGCCAATGGAGCTTCCATACTCAATTGACCAGTAGCGTCTCTCTTTACTGGGCCTAAAAAGTGTGGCAGGGGAAACATCGTTTACTACTTCTATCAGGAGGAGCGCATAGGAGACCACCAAGGAGTATCTTATAAGTTTTTCTTAAGGAGGAGGGCAAAAGCCATCAGAGTATTCCTATATCTAGTTCATCTCGCGGTGATATAGCATTACGTAAACCTCTATATCATAATCTTGGTGTAACTTGTCGGTATTTCTCAAGAAAGTTTTGCGTCGTTTCTATAGCTTTGTTGTTCTTCTCTTTCTCTCTTTCCTATTGCTTGATGTTATGGTTCTTGTAGTTTGGATTGCGGTACCGAATAATACGTAAATGAGATTATTGGAAGATGAATGCGTTTAAATCATGCGGCCTAATTATCGAATTGTGAATAAAGACGGCTGCCTATGTGATAGCGGCTAATCCCTAAAAATGATAATTCAAACTAAGCAATAGACCCAGCCAGCCTAGTCTGGTTAATAAATACGATTTAAGTAATAAATCATTCAAAGTCAGTAATAATTATGGCGCCTATCACATGTAAAATCGTTAACTCTAAAAGATCTAGCATTTGCGGTGTAAAGGTGATACTAGAATGCAAAGATCACAACGACCGACTATACAATAAATTTAGGTTATACTCGGATGAGCGTGGGGATATGAACTCTTAGTTTAGTTTCCCTCCAGTGGGCACAGCTGGGGACCTCTACCCCCATGTTATACATATAACTTAAGCCACCCGGGTATCAATCTGTTTCATCTTGGACATTGACGACTGCCTAAGAGTTGGCCTTTAATAATAAATTCATCTTTCCGACTTGACTCGGACATACTTCACACTTCTGATCAATAGTAGGGATCGCTATCCCACGCTTCACTTTTAACACAGTTCACACCCCTTTACTGCTTAGGAAATCCAATATAAGGGTACCAGTGCACAGGATAAATTAGCCATGATAGCACATGGTGGCGGACATTAGTTATTCTATTGCAACTTTATTTATAACTATTCTCATTGATATACGATATCAGTTTATTTCCTAAATACTAGTGCTTAAAGAATACAGGTATATAAAGCGAGCTAGCTTAGCTCGCCATTCTACATCAACGCCAGCTATATACATAAAACAGGCGTGACCACCAGTGAAGCTTTCTTAGGTGGAAATCAGCAGCCCAGTAGATAATCTCTTTCCCATCTCTAACTACAAAACGATTTATATTAGTATACTAGGCCTGGGGGAACCACTGAAAATTGATGTAACGAACCCCTTCGCGTATAGCGTGCGGATGCCGCAGACAGATAGAGGCACCATCGAGCACACTTAAAACATATCTAGAGTCCTTCAGAGGCCCATATATATTAATCGAATAGTCATTTAGTCCAACCTGAACAATAGAGAAGTAGAATCCTTCTATCCCCAGACCCTTTAGTGTCGTTGTAATAAGGGGATGAGTTAAAATATCGCTGCTAAGTTTTGTTGTTTGAGGGATGTTCAACTACTCTTCATTAGCATGTTGACATTTGGGAACAGGGGCTATCTATATACATCCATAGTAGATAAGTTCATCAGTCATTTCGATAATTGAGGGTCACAGTCATATTTGGAGGTTACTCCTAAAATGTATATTCCATTAACTATTAAATTTCGTTCTTAGTTATAGGGGGTACCTTAAAATTCAAAATTAATAAAAAAAATTTAAAGAATAAAAACCAAACAAAATAGACTATAAATACTCCTAGCCTAGTCGCCGACGCAGCTTTAATAAACAAGCTGTTGTTCGATTTACGTAGATGCAATGGCGGTCAAGGAACTAAGCCTATCACTACTTCGATCGGACGCCGAACAAATATATGTGAATGAGTTTGAGACAGTTCGGCAATGGTGGTCAGAAATACGTGAATTATCAACCGTCGGCGACATTCCCGACTAGGATAGTGAGATCGCTCAATCGTTTAGCACCCTAGATGCCATCATCAATAATAAGATACAGCCACCTCAGCTGAAGCGCCTTTGCTACATAGCTATTACAAACGTTTTTAAGATAATTAAAGAGAAAGTCAGGACTAGCCGAAGGCAGGGCCGAATAAAATCAAGGCCTAGTGCTATAAATGCAAGTTATACTCTACAATTATACCTATAAGCACAGAGTACAGATCGCAATCTCGAACATACAAAATGTCAGTTATACAGACATCTACGTATTACAAAGAGATAGCGTGAATTAGGGGGGAAGTTTCTAATTATACTAGTCACTTATAGTAGTGCGGCAGAGAAAATTATATAGGTGAGCTACACCACCGTCATCAAATATTATGCCAACAATTTAGCAACAATCGATCAGTTATAAAGCCTATGCTGCGAGGAGTTAGCGATACAATAATGCAAATTAGCTTACAGCAAGTGGTGGAGTTCTATTAAGTGCTATAAGAAGAAGAATGCGTTGCTATAGATATCTCTAGCTAGGCGAGGGAGGGTAATATCTTAGTGGGAAAATTGCCCTAGAGGTAGAGTCTGGCTTAAACTCAGAGGACCGGGGTATATTACAATAGTCTTCATATTCGCTCTCTAACCTCTGTGTGCCCTCTAAATCTTCATTGGTGAACCCCTCACTTTTGCCCTTCAACGGTTGTGATCTGGGGTTTAAGCTTTCCCCAAGAAGGGGACTCTCGGCAGTCTCTTTGGAATTCGGGATAGGCTCCTCTTCACTGGCCTACTTCCTCTTCCTCTCCTGCCGCCAGGTTGACTTAGTGATAACCTCCTCTTCGCTGACCTGCTCCCTCTTTCTCTTATGCGGCTAGGCTGGATTTGAAATGGAGCTCTGCTCGATAGTCACTGGTTCCTTCTCATGTGGGTGAGCTATAGTTGAGCTAGATCCCTGCTCTACTGTCCTCATTGGTTCCTTCTCATGTCGCCAGGTTGGCGTGGGGTCATAACCCCCTTCGCTGCTCAGTTCTATGTCTGTACTATTAGCGTGATATGTTCCTTTATGCTTCTGGGCTACCCTTGATCTGGAACCTGAATCACTACTTAGTTCCATATCTGTACCATTAGCATGATATATTCCTTTATGCTTCTAGACTATCCTCAGGTTAGAACCTGAATCACTGCTTAGTTCTATGTCTGTATTATTACCGTGGTATATTCCCCTATGCTTCTGGGCTTTATTCGTGCTAGAGCCCTACTGAGCGGCCCTCTCTGGCTCCTTCTTATGCTGTCGAGCTGGTGTCGAGCTGGAAGCCTGCTCGCCACTCTGCCCCCTCACTAGTTCCTCCTTATGCGGTCGGGATGTTTGCGTGTCTGTATCCATGTGTGGTAATAGTTCTATGCGGCTTAGATTCTCCGCTTGACTTGTTAAGTCATCCGATCCTCGTACTAATACCCACTCTTCCGAGGTTGCCGCCGAAACTGTTGCATCTAATAGTATATATTCGGATTTATCTGCGTCGCCGCCCTCATCAATTGAATCTAGATTATCTGGTAAGTCTATAACAGCTTAGTCTAACTCGGGATCTGAACCTGAGCTACTATCTGTCTTAGGTATATAATCTGAATCATCCGAATCTGTATGCTGGCCCGACCTCTCACTCTCCCAGTCGACTGTTGTAGATACTTGAGGGCCAGGCTCTAAAGTCAACTGGTCCGGTGATGATAAATTCAGAAGTTCTTCGGCTGTAGGTCCTCCTTCCGTATCTGGAGGCAGGTGCTCCTGTATTGGCACGCCTGTTGCGGTTTCCACAGTAGCAGGGGCTGTTGGGATTATACCTATCTATTGTGTGGATACTTCTGTCTGGGTTTCTTCTATTGTGTAGCTAGCTAGAGTGCTACCCAAATTATTTCCTGGTCCATTTTTACGCCGAGTCCGAGAGTATGGGTATTAAGCTATCTCTCTCGCAGAACTAGGTCCTTCACTAACTGCTCGTCGCGCTCTATATCAGTTTAGCTATATTGAGAATGTTTTCAGTTGAGGCGATGACGGAGTTAAGCTGCCCTGGACCGCTATAGCCTCAGATATCGCTAGGAAGGATCTAGGGTCTTGTTGGGCAGCTGGTATGGATCCTGACAGAACATCCTCTGGCTGAACTACCCCATCCTTGGGGTGATGAGGCGCTTCGGGTAGAGGTAGAGGCTGTAAAATACTGCTCAATCCTTCTAACCGTGGCTGATATGTTCCATCATCTTCAATAGTTAGAAGAGGAGGATTAGGATATTCCTCCTGCGTTATAATACTGGCACCTGGATGTATTCTTCTAGAAGAATGAAGCACTCTAGATTCATTAGATAAAGTATGCCGTTCCTCTAGCGTAGACTGACGCGAGTCTTGCGGAGGTACTCCTGGTTGAATTGCACCATCTTCGATAGTTGGAAGAGGAGGATCAAGATGTGCTTCCTGTGTGACTATACTACTACCTGAATAGATCCTGGGAGAATGAAGCACTCTAGATCCAGATATTTCAGGTAAGGTATGCTGTTCCTCTGGCGTGGACTGATGTAAGTCTTGTGGAGGTACTCCCAGCTGAATCCCACCATCTTCAACAGTAGCTAGGAGAGAAGTACTAAGGTCTTCCTCCAGTTGAGGTATACTACCTAATTAGGTTTCTTCAGAAGAATAAAGCACTCTAAGTGTTTCAAGAGTAGTTGTTTGTGGATCACGCTATTCACCTGGAGTAGATGGGTGTGATTCCAGCACTCCCGGTTGAATATTATCATCTCCAACCATAGCGGGGAGAGAAGGATTGAATTAATCCCCGAGCGGTGGCATAATATCTGATCGGATTCCATCGGCGACCTCAGCAGGGTTATATTGCTCCCCCAGATCACGATCAGGAACGAATCTCCTTCGTACTCTTTATCGTCTTCTCCGTCGTTCTTTCGTCTTTGCATTAGTCTGAGCCTGACGATTTCTTGTTGATTGTTCTTGTTGACCTTCATCCTGCGCTGCATTATTGTTTTCATCCATAGTCACATCCTCGTAATCTTTCTCTGTGCTAGGTTCATCCA